TCAAAAGAATGGCCAAGTCCCTCTTTATGCTGACAGTTAACTTCCGTCCTAACAAAGCTTCCAGTCATTCATTCTTTTAATACTCAAGCTCCCTCTCAAGTATTTCAGTGCATTTCCACAGATGAGCATTCTTACTTTGATCTTTTTTTAGTCACAAGATAGGATATCGCTTAATTCTCAAGAGCTTTGGCAAACATGGCCTAGGCACAGGTTCGCATGTGGGGACTTGTTTCATATTCACAGTCATCCGTCAAAATATTTGTCGGACTATCAATAAATGGATCCCCCACATTATTTTACCTGTCATCCTTATCTGATGCAAAGCAGGCCCTGTTATAAATGGCCCCTCTAGGCTCGCGGCAGTTAATGGGAAATGCGGTGCTATGCTAGGCTGTCTGGATCCAATAGATAGGACAATGAAATAACACTAACAATGACAAATTATAATCATAAAACTACCGAATGACAAATAAAATGGCCAGCATTCATGATATCAAAGGATTGCAATGGTCCAATCATGCAAGCAGATAATAAATAGGGACAGGAGTGTGTTTTTCTGGCATTTGGAACACTGGATGATGGTCCTTTGTCCTACATCAAATTATAATATATAGCTGCTCATTCCCGATAACAGATATTCAAAGCCCATTTACTACACAGCTCTGACAAGGGCCTGCAATTTGAAAGATAAACTTTGAGCCAGCCTCATAAAATAGCCACTTGTCAATGGAATGGCTTGTGTGCTCAATATATTTAAATGACATTTGTAAAATTAAAGCCCTTGAATTAGAAATTAATGTGCTAACACAGTGATTAGGGCACAGGTTCCTTTCACATTTGTTTTTTTTTTCTTGATTATTTTATGTAAATGAAATTGGAAAACTCCAAGCAGATCGCACATATATCATGTGGTTCACAACATAGATCAAATAAATATTTATCTTATTTACAGAAACATCACTGAAACCTAGTTACTAACAGCAATAATTCATTAACAATCTTGTCTTACTATCTGTTTTGTTTTTTAGGATGGTGTTTTTATTCTGATTTTGGCACAGACATGTTTTCATCCATGTCCATCAATATGGCACAACATAAATATTGTACATGGAGATATGACTTTAAAAAATTGATTAACATTTATAACACAAGAAAACAATCTCAATCAAAACAGTTTCATGACACCAGATGGTTACTGTACAACAGTGTCGCAGATATAACCATTTCGAGGGCACCATATTCCCCTCCTTGCCATTTGTGTAACTAGCTTTCCTGCGCCATTAAATCTCACCAAGCAGCTGCCGTCACCAGACAAAGCCTCGCTGGCATCACGGCGCCACCAGCTTCAAAAACACTACTTCACTGGAGTATGAATATGACTTTAATGTCAAGATAAGATAGAATGAAAAATATTCATCAAGAGTTGATGCACATAAAATCGCTATCACTCACTATAAAATAATGTATAGCCGGAACATTACGGAAGTATTTGATAGGCATAAACTTCTGAAGGATCGCATGTAGGCAGCCTCTCAGGTTCCTCTGTCTGCAGTTAAATGCTATCAATCATATACAATCTCTCAGAATAGACAATGCAGCCCATTACCTCTTATCACTTCTAAAGAAAAGCCACTAATTTTAAGGCATTATGAATTAATATAATGGATGATGTAAATTACTGCGCTGTCAGAGTAAATCAAGAAAATGCAATCTTTCCTTCACGTGTCTTGGATCTATACGACCTTTTATATTTCTTTATGAAAGAATTTACAACAGATCGCCAATAGTGCCATGTCAAACCCCTATTTTATATCTCGCTGAGGCCCTGGGTGCCACTGCATGTTATAAATTGTTGATAAGCAGGTTAAAGGAGTCACACCGACTGTCAAATCAAAGGTGCCGCCTGATTTATTACACATGACATTGCTGTGAGATGATTGCGGCCCTCATCTGTCATTTGCGCTTCAGCTGCGGTAGATTGAATGACATCTTGTATGTACACATAGTCATTTGTCATCCTACTATCACCAGATTACAGGTGACCCCCGCGACCCTGTCTATCTCACCTATCACAAATTGAACCTCGGCAAGAATGACACCGTGACAATAATAGCGCTGGGACGTGGTACCAAGACGAGCTGATGACACATGTTGGCACGGTAACCACAGTTTGTTCTGATGTGTATGTGGTATATTACCCTGGGAGAAAACAAATGTCCACTTTTGGGAGTATCAAACTGTCACTTTCATCACCTGTTGCCCTAGTATGTGAGTGGAGGTGACAGATACTGGGAAATAAATGACTCAATTCTGCCTCCGGCCATTCTTCAGTCTTGTACCAGCTGATACATCTTGTCTTGAATACCTAACACAGGTTACCTCTATGATAATAACACAGCGCCACCACCCACACCTATACTCTACACATTACACATACTGATACTGTTACTCAATAGTTACTATCATTTTCCTCATGAACAAATACCCCTTATCTAACTGTACTGTCTGTGCTAGCCTGGTGGTCATTACATTAAATATAGGAGAATTAACAGTACAGGCAGGGTACAGCTAGCAGGTATAGGTGGATGGGTTGGATGGTAACTCTGTCTGGAGAGCAGGCCATTTATTACAGCCAGGATTAAGTGATAAGCCAAGTGCTTTAAAAGTAATGTTCACCTTAATCAAATACTCGGCAACATTTGGCACAGTGGAGTACAAGATGAATTTCTGTCTCACTTGCCGACCATTCATCAAAGAATGACTGCTTTTAGCCACACCAAATCATCATTCTTTGAATGCTGAAGAGGCGTTGGTTCCACTGTGATTTTACGCATGCAAAACATGTGTAAATTTCTGCACCGTGATCAAAAGTACCGCAGAAACACCTGTCCCAGCCATTACCCCTGCTCTAGAAAAAAATTGTGCAATTTCGCTCCCCCATCTATCACACTTTGCAATATCTTTATTGCTTCTGCCTGTCATGCAGTCAAAATAAATTGCCACAATTTGTGTTTATGTGTTATTATTTTCACATCCATGAGACGATTCAGTCCTTAGATCTTTCTAGCCGGGCTGATCAATCACTCTGCTCAACAATCAAGGTAAATATTTTCAATCATCTCCCTGACAACCTAGTGACATAATTGATAGATGATGGATAGGTGGAGGTCATAAAGGCACGTTATGGGCCTGCTTGCATTCTTATTACTCTTTTATATCCCCCTTTTCACTTGGTTGTGTTGCTGGTGAAAGAAATCTACCTCAAAACATTTAGAATATGCCACAGCAGCCTGCCCCCGCTTCTTTTACCCAAGGCAGTTAGGCTATATAAGCTAGATACATTGATGCAGTGTACATCCTACGTTAATCATGCTTACAATATGCACAATTACCACATTCCTTGTGTTGAATGTTTATTCATAACATTGATATATTTTGGTTGTTTTATTGTGTAAATAGTATTATCAGACATCCTGACAGAACACTAGAGAAATCTTCTGGAGAGTCAAAACAGTTACATTTACTAAATTAGCCCTAACAAGTTTGCTTTAAATAATAGGGTAAAATTCAGTAAATTTTTTTTCACTTTCATTTGAAGAAAAAAATTCATCAAAGAAATTTTTTACCTTCATATACAAATTTTTTATCTTCACATACAGAATCTCAGTGAAATCCACATTTCATGTCAGTCAAATAATACTTACAAATTTTTTTCTTTTCAATTTGATCACCTTTCTACCGAATAAAATTCCTCCTCTAAAACAACATCTCAAGTTAAACAGAGAAAAACAAGACATTTTTTTTCTAAAATGACATTTTTGGGAAAACACAGATAAAATGCAAGTGAATAATTCCCCGTCTGATTTAATTTTGAGCTTAGATGAGAGCTTCCGTAATTCACTGAGAGAAAATATGAATACTTCATCTTTCATCTTCAACCAAATAATCAAGTTAAGGCAATTTGAATTTTCTGGTGTTACAATCCTCGACTTTCCCTACACGCATGACATCAAGCCTCCTGTCTTAAAAACAAAGTGTCCAAGTCTGGCAGCAAGGGCATCCACAGATGGTTGAAAACTACTATCATTTCCCGGAGGATCTCAAATCATTTTAAAAGCAACTACAAGGTAGAACAAGAATTAACTGTAACCCTAATCCAGTCTGACACCCCTTTACTTTACTTGTTGAAAGTGCGGGTTCCAAGAACAGAGCTCGCAATGATTAATGCCCCTAAAGCTTTGTGCCTTACAATTTAAGTCCTAATAAATTTACTGGCTGTAATGAAATACTTTTACAATGTCAAGTCTCATATTAGAACCTACCAATTGTGCTGTTTTATGGATCCTAAGTTCTATTATTTATGACACATCTAATGGTTGGAAGGCCGTTAGGGCTTAAGCAGCAATTCATCTGGCCTTTAAATCTAATAATTGGAAATAGCGCCGTGTTTTATGAAAGTCGAACAGCAAAAAATGAGTTTAGCATACACCCAATGAAATTTATAAAAATATGATAGGGGAAGAGACAGGTCTCACATTCCACTGCTGTAATAACATAAATTCAGTGCAAGTTATGAATGAGACCAAGCTGCCAGGCAAGCTTTACTGAAAAACCCATTACAATTCATAGCTTATGTATCACATAAAAAGAGCTGTCAAATTAATCTTTTCTCTCAAGTCCGTCTACCTTCTTTTGTCTTCTATAAGGTAGTAATTTATAAGATGTGCTTAATCAAATTATAAAGAAATCAATGGATCAAAGTAATTCCGCACTTCATCATTCATTACTGTCAACTGATTCTGCCAACAGGGGGCAGCACCCTCTACATCAACAGTTGGCTATTTAGGTCAGAAATGAGTCACCAAACTTGCCAGAAGCTAACCACTTTCACTTCCTTGTCAAAATTTGTAAACAGAAGATGAAAAATTTCAAACTTACCAACATTTATCTCCTTTCAGTTCCTTGTCAAAAATTGAAAATAGAATAAATTTCAAACTTACCAGCTGTTTCTTTTCACTTCCTTGTTCAAGTCTGGAAGAAAAACAATAGAAATCATTTTACAATCAGAAGCAACCTTCTAATTTAGCTTCTTTTTCAGACGTCAAAAAAACAAATATTTTAAAACTTTTTGAATTAAAAAATGACAGACTTACATGATTACAAAATATCATTTTTACAGTAGAAAATGCAACGTACCCAGAACTCCAGACATCTTCACTAAAAGGAAGAGAAAATTTTGAATGATAAAAAGTATATTATATTTGTAAATTGTCAAATTACCAAAAAATAAATTTAAACACACACACACACATCGTTTTTACTAGAAGAAAGGAAAAAAATTAGCTATTCCAATAAAACAACTTATGAGCCACTTCACATTTTTTCCACCAAAAACAAAATTTCCCCTCCATAAAATGGTTTTACCTTTTCACATCCCATGAAATGCATCAACAACATAAGAGAGCAAACTCCATTTTTAGCCAATTGGACAGCATCAGCAGAAATAGCAATGACCAAAAAGTTTGTAGGGAGATGAAACATATTACAGAGGAAAAAATATCATGGAATGACACCCATCAAGACATTTCATCCATTACAGCTAGGAAATAAATTTGAAGCTTTAAGATATGCATATCATAAACATTGATTATTGAATATTTTAATTATAGAACTATTAGATGTATATGCCAGCATATAGTTATAAAGCCACACTTATTGTAATTGCTCAATCTTTTCAAGGGGAGAAATTGTAAATTTTACAGATACTGTATTTTAAAGTAATTATTTCTTAAAATTACATGGCAGCAACAAAATTGAAAAGAAGGCTAATCTATAGTTCTATTCAATGCAGTAAAAGCATCACAAATGATATATTTAAGTGCAATTTTTGTGATTATAATTTATGCATCTGAAGTCTGATAATATTTCCAGATAATATTGAAAAGATTGAGTAATTACTATTCATTTTTGGTGAACATCTTTGCTTATTTTGTAATTGGAAATTCTGTCAAGCTCAATTTTTATTAAAAAAACAACTTGACTATCCTCTGTGACTTCATTATTTTTTCTAATTCTGCACATTCTGCCCTAGTGAGTGATCAAAGCCAGAACTGGGCCCGTAACTCGAAAGCATCGCATGTTGCAAATAGCGATATCAAATAGAGACTACAATGTATTATATGGGATGAGTATGGGCGAGTTACGGAATCGAGATGCTTTGCGCTTGGTCGCAACGCACAATGCTTTCGAGTTACGGGGCCCAGGTATCATTCAGACAAGCAAATGATCAGAAATCAGAGCAAAATCTTGAGTTGAGCTACACTTGCCACATGGTGGAAAATGCATCTTGTTTAATGTAGTAGCAAAACAAGATAACAGTCCTTTTATGAAAAATATTTCTTGATTTTTCAAATATAAAAGTTAAGCCCTTGGTAAAATGGCTAATGCTAGTTCAATGTAGCCTGTTTTATTTATTCTTTTCATTTGCATTGACACCATGTTCTGACAAACCTAGAGGCAAGTTTCAAGTGAACACACACTGAAGAACACATCATTACCATACATTATATATTTATTGTGTACATCTAAAATATGCCGTCATTATATCGAGTTGAATACAATAACAAATAGGATCTCTTACAATCGCCTGGCTCGCTGTCTACAAAGTCCATGTCCTCACTTATCTTACACAGAGAAGGACCTGTATTGTTTTGTAAAGAATATGAGCTTTAAATATTAAATGCATAGTTCAGGACTCGAGGATGGGAAGATATTTTCTTTCTAAATAATATCAAATTTACTTAGCCAAGCATTTATATATCCTTTTCACTGTTATATTTTTTCTTTAAACACTGTTATTCTGATGTAAAATTCCCCCCAATACAGGAGTCTTTATGTACAGACATCTCTTCACACTCACACAATACACAGTACCTCATTCTGAATGTAGTTTGCATGTCGAAATGCAAACAATGAAATCAAATTATAGACTTCTTCCACCTCTCTTCCAATAATAAATACCAATGTGAATTAATCTAAATGATTTTCTTAACTGTACACCTCCAGTAAATATTCCTGTTAAAGGTATTTTAATTTACTTAAAAAATTATTGATTAAATTCCATAGCTAAAAAGAAAAATATGTCAACTCCTTCACCTGTTCTCAGGTAATGTACTTTGAAAAAAAAAGTCCTGAGGTAGTTACAAACAATTGCAATGAGGATTTAAAAAGGAATACGATACTCTCATATTGACAATCAAATTAGCAGAAATGCTGTCCTTCTCATGCAAACCAGGAAGAATCTCCTTTGAAACTAGAGGATCAGAGAGGCGATACCGCCTCCGAATATTGTACCACCAGCTGGAGCAAGCGCATTCGTATAGACCCCCACATACACAAAATAAGGGGTGCAGCCACCAGTCTTGTGCTTGACAAGCTGTAAAAATGCAATCAACAAGAATTTTCAAAATATGCAAAAAATATATATAACTAAAAATGGTGCAATCAAAGTTAAGTTCATTGTAAGGTAGGTCAAAGGTCAATTTCAAGGTCACAGTAAATTGCCAGTATATGACTTCCTATCCAACTTCAATAGTAACTATGNGATGACTTTCTTTATGGAGGTACCACCGCTGTTTCCAACAGCTTCCTGGAAAACAATTTTTTTTTTCAATAAATGTTGGAAGTCCACAGAATGCTATCTTTACATAACAGTAATAACACATGTCATGCCCTGTGCTCCACAGTTTCACAATTCAACAACAATATCAAACGCAAAATAAAAAGGTTATGATACAGTCGGAGTCTTCATTACAGGTCGCACACTGCTAACATTTTGATAATCTATTCAAGTATAAATTTCAAATCACTTGTTGCTACATCACCCAAACACAGATGGGCCTTCAACAGCATTTCCTCAGAGATAATTAATAGAAACAACCCCTCCTGTTATAAGAGGTTATGATTTTCCCCACTTTTTCAAGAGATAGTTCAAATAGAGTTATGGCACGTAAACAATTGCCCCTTGAATCTTGTTTGATCGCACAGGTAATTTATTTATAAACAATTTGTCTTTGTGAACAAACACAACATAAACTTAATGTGAGGTTCATGAATCCTAGGAACTTATATAACAGCTTCACCATGGAGTCAAATATACAATATAAACTTACAGTGAGGTTCATGAATCCTAGGAACTTATATAACAGTTTCACCATGGAGTCAAATCCGTTCTCTGGCAGTGAGCTTTGGATGCGCTCCACATAGGTCTGGAAAGGAAATTACTTTTTAAGGCTCTCTTCCTTTTTGAAAAACAATCTAATATCAAAATACCACAATAGATTGCATCAAATGTACCTTGAACCACTTAAATGTCAGGAACAATAATACATGTTCCGAGTAATTCTTAAATTTTTTTTTTTGCAAATAACTGTGAGCTGAAGCCACCCAAGGAAAAAAAAAAAACACAAGGCACACAATATATGACATCATATCAATTAAGTTCACCTATTTATAATATTCATAAAACACAGGATGTAGCAACTCTTACCTTGTTATTTTGTATGATACAGCCAATAAGTAGGGACACATAAGATGCTACTATACTGTCTTCCATGTGTTTTCCTGCCTTGTGCAATGCTAAAATAAATAAATAAATCTTAAACATCAAGATACCTTTTCTGTGACAATAAAAAATTTAGCAATGTCAAATTTTATACCCTCTAGTTACACAACAAAGAAACTGTACCAAATTCAATCTCCAATTTTTGAAGGCACTATCCCAAGTTTTCAACAGAATTTGAAATGTGCTCTATTTTAAACAGAAAACACTTCACTACAGTAGGTAAAAGAATGTCACCCTTGTAACGTCCACTCACCTTTGGTCAAGGGGTCATTCTCGTCCTGTGAGCTGGGCAACTCCTCCATCTCGTCATCGCTGTCACTGAGGGCCGCGGGGTCATCTTCATTCAGTACCACCCACTCTATTCCAGACTCCGACTCTCGCCATTCACCGCTCTTGTCCACTGTCTCCTGCGACGTGCCCTCCGCTGCCGAGGTATCTGCTTCCTCCTCGTCTTGTGCCTCAGCATTCCTGGCAGCCTCGTCTCTCTGCAGGAATAGCTGTAACCATAACACAACAGGTGCTCTTTATATATAGACTCTCACAGGCCAGAAATCAATACAAGGCGCTTACTGGTGGTTATTCCATTTGATATAATGACCATTAACAAGTGAAACATATTAGGGAAATGTGTAAAACTTAGTCAATCCTTAGCTGATGACCAATAACAGAAAACGTTGATCAGTGCTTCAACTATTCACCGATTTATGTGGAAAGTTATCTCTATATGGAGCTTTTTCATCATTTCACCTGCCAATTCATTATTAGCATTATTTCCTTCAACCAAATAACTGGACTATTTCAGACAAATCAATTTCAACCAGATAGTTAATACAATGGGCAAAAAAACGGTCCTACATCTTAAATTTTCACCAGACAAATCTGAGTACAACACAACAAAGTGCCCAGACTGGTGATTTTCATTTCATTCTAACTAAAACTACCAGTTTCAGGAACTGCAGTATCCAATAACTTATAATAAACTGTATACAATCCACATAACACTTCTCTCAAAGCAGAGATCCTCAGAGCCATGTGGTGTGTCACTGACCTGTACCAGTGCCTCTGGAGCCTCCAGACTGCCAGCTTGGGATGTGGAATCATAGGAACTGACTGTCTCTGTGGACATCAGCAATCTTCTGTTTATATCACAGTGTTCAACTAAGTTAATCAGAAGTCCAAGACCCTGGAGAACAAAAAGAATGATTTGATTTTTCTTTGGAATATTACCAACACATGACAAATGTTCATCCGGTTAATGTTATGATTTTTTAATTTCATATCTACGCTAAAGTTACGCTTTCCTTTTCTTTACAAAACTACATAGCATTTCTGTGGCTTTCATATCACCATTTTTATTTATTTTTTAAAAGATATTGATTATCTAAAACACAGACAAGATTACAGGTCTGGGACATACAGGAGGGTACAGGTCTGGGACATACAGGAGGGTACAGGTCTGGGACACACATGAGGGTACAGGTCTGGGACATACATGAGGGTACAGGTCTGGGACATACATGAGGGTACAGGTCTAGGACATACATGAGGGTACAGGTCTGGGA